AACGTTGAAAGCAGTGCCTAAGAGAACCCGGAAAATTTTAGTAGTTGCAAAGAAACTAAGATGCACGGGCACCACTGTTTACGACACCCAACCATAATACTCAATGCTACTAATCATTGAGCACAATTATTCGGAAGTTCTATTCAAGGAGCCTAAAAGGACCCGTATGATCGAATTTCCAATCGCTCGCATTTGATACTACATGGGTATAGGAACAAGGAAAAATAGTCCAAACCTCAATAGCGCGAGAGGCTTTGAATAAATAGTGAGAAGCAGAACCACAANACAAGACTACGTCCAGGAACTCAACAGCAACACGACTTTAAGAGTTGGCTAGATACTTAAACGGAGATAATAATGAAACCCTCTAACCAAAGCATAGCCGAATTATCCTGAGAGTAACGCAAGGTTCTGAGGGCTGCAACTTAGTAAGAAACACCCTCAAGGGAGGATCTTTTGTTTGTAGATAAATATATTGGAAACTTATGAAACGTGAAACTGATCCCTTCGTTATTCTGGATTGATTCATTCCTCTGCTAACCGATGGAGCGATAATCAAGCGGTATCGATCCAGTCCTGCTGATGAGAAAGTCATCAGTTCAAATTTCACTTCCAACCCCAAACATCCCGATTCTGACACTCCGTTCTTTCCTCCGGCAACCCTTGATTGGTCACTTTCTGCTTCAATAAATTTCATTACATCACAGCTTATTCGACAAAAGAAAGTAAAACCACTCACTCAAGCTAATAATGACAATCCCAAAGGCTAAAGTACCTGAACGGCTGTAAGTGTTAATTTTGAACGCTATCGTTCATGGCTAACTTACGTATGCTTTCCGCACTTCGTGCTTTAAAATGAGAGAATTTTCTTGTATTACCTTGTGTTTATCTTAAATTTAGATCGGTAGTGATGGAGCCAAACCTTACAAAACTCGAAGAGGGAGAAGTGCAGAAAAGGAACATAGCTTCATGTTAAAAAGTTTCTCGATTGCATTGCACTTTTAGAGCTGTAGCCAGTCCTTATTGTGAAAAGTCTTACACAGCGTTAGTCTTCAGGAAGGAACTATCGAACAACCGGTGGTAGGTTTTTCAGTTTGTGATAATCTGCTTTTTAAAACAGAATTCAAGCAACACTTCCGCCACAGTTTGAATCAGGAAGCTAGAGTTTTTCGACAATCTCGAGAGAGATTTGTATACGTGAACAAAGCGGACGGTAAGTTTCGAAATACCTTAAATTAAATGAATTGGTTCTATTCAAAAGAGCGATAAATAGACAAAAAGCAGCACTCACTCGAATCGGGTAGGTAGTCAGTTGAACAATTGTATCTAACAGATGAGTCGCGCGATTAGGACAAATGAACTGGCGCTGGCTGCTACAGGCACAAGGGTTCGCAAAAGGCTCCATTTCAGACCAGTACGTTATTAGACCGCCGCCGAGGCGATGAAATACTTCGGCAAACAGAACCAGACTGTTGTAACGCGACTCTGTATACACGGGCGGTTCGCTGATTAGTGCGCTATAGGGAGGACGAACATAAAGAAAGCATATGAGCGTGCGCATATCTGACTGCAGATGAGATTCTAACATAAGTGACCAGGTAGTCTATAAACAAATTTGCAACACTCCGATGCAAATATTGTGATGAGGAACAAGAAACAATTAATCTTGTTCCTGGAGGCACCGGATTTTCTAGTGTAACGAGATAATCTAACAACAAAAGCATGAGAGTATTGTCAGAGTTGTACGCAGTTCAGTCATCAGACAGCATGACATCTTCGCTACTGTGCACTGCCTCTTCCAGTACCCAGTTGCTGATGAAGCGTATCGTTCTTGTAGAAGCAACTAGTCTCAATCCTGTTTTACCATGTGTTAAGGATATGCATGAGGTTTACCGATCTTATAAATCATTACGTTTACAATAATACTTGGATTTCGAGCAAAATAAATCTGAGTAAGTTGAGCACTTTGCCCAATGCTTATTGTCGACCATCTACGACTCTGTGGCTGATCCGGTTATTCTACGGGAAACTGAAATCATTGTTCTCCCGTCACCATTGCGAATAGAGAAGTCAGAATCACGGGTTTGTACAATGTATTCATGGTTATTTCGCTGCATCTGTACACGTGCATACTGCAGTCAACGTGTTTTTTAATAGCCAGTGAGATAATCACCTTGACTGCAGCACGCACGTGTACAGTTGCAGCGAAACGACCATCGATACATTGGGCAAACTCATGTTTCTGACTTCTCTGTACAAATATGTGACGGAGAAACAGTGTTTTCGATGAGGGTTTTGTTAAGAGTCAATCATTACTTATTCGACTCCTTTAAAATGAGTATTTTGTCTTCTCGCCAAAGGAGCTGGAATGCATACACAAATTGCTTTTGAGCACACAGCGGAGGTTGTGAATACCGATAATGACTGACTCCGACGTGACTAGAATAGGAAACCATATATGCAGATCGTTCTAGCTCTGTTATCACCTACCATCAACAGAACGTTCCGGTCGACCAAGATCTAAACCCGATTCAGATTCAGCCCCTTAATGTGTCTCGGTTGAAGCACTCCACTCCGTTGATTTCTCCTGTATCCACTCAATTAATCGCTCCTGTGGAACAAAATATTTTGAACGCACGGCTAAGCCTCTGGCCGAGCACACCCATGAGCACCACCCTATGTGGCTGAGTAGTGGAGTAATAAGATCTATTACACCTGCTGTCGCACGTTCGTACGTTGCTGACATTGATCACACCTTAAACGTGATTGAAGTGTTCCGATACCCGTACAGAGTAAAAACGGGACAGAGGTTTTGTATTCCAGTTACAGCGGAGGCAGTCAGTATCCGTCTTTATACACAAATATACATATCACCATCACCCTTTGGTGTACTCAAAAGCTGTGAGAAAAGTCAAGCAGATTAGTTATGCTTTAAGTTCCACAAAGCCTACAACGGCGATCGGTAAGTACAAAGTGGAACAAGCCACAGCCCCTTCCGATCAAACTTTTTACATGAGGACCACATTTTTTTGCTTGTTAGTTTTATTGGCGTGGCTCACGTGAACACACATGCCTACACGTCATCGAACAGTGGTGTTTAAACGGGAGATAACCGAACAAGTAATGATCAGGTTCAATGGTGATTTTCGTCGCGTAATAACGCAAGCGTTTGACTGCTATAGATTATGATAGCTTGGGTATTTATTCATTGTTTCAGATGGTATTCCTTGGCATGCTATGAAGGTTGGAGCAGGTAGTCTTGATAAGGTTATGGTTACTCAAATCATGACCTGGCGTGATTGTGTAACCGGTTGGCACTTCACCGTTGACATCCCAGAGATCAGTTTAGTCAGTCATTTCAAACATTAGATAATATGGCTAAGTTTCCTGTCTGTGTCTTCATTCTCTCATAATCCACATTTTTATATGCTGGTAAGGTACAGTGATTCTTTGCAATCCATGATGCGCCGCACCGGTATTGAGCATTTGTCGTATTGCCAAAAATATTGCACAATGGGACAAACAAACGGAAATAAAACTATCTAGTACAATGCGTCTTATAATATATCACAGAAATCTGCTTACATGACAATAGAGGCCAATCGATTAATGATATCATCATTTCGCAACATTATCTCGATTAATTTGAAGGATTCCTCCGAGCTTCCGGATGTTGACTGCGGTTTCCTATTTAACAGAATAGTCAATAAGCTCAGTGCATCAATACGGATGCTTTCATGACCAAGCAGTCGAGTCAAAAGCTGAACGAACGATGTCCCGTCAGCAGCAGTGCTATCTGACTCGTAACGGGGTTTCCATTGGGTCAACACATCCGTACGACATGTATCCAAAAATCCAGAAAGCATAAGCACTGCTTCTCGACACAATGTGATCGACTGGATAGAAGAAGACTGGAAGGATAAGATGACGGAAAAATAAAATAAACTACCATGGTTTCCAAACTATTCAGCTGGCAAACAATGAGGTCCAGTGCGAATGTAAACAGAGGCAGCAGTTTCTCGTTTAAACTCGACACGATATCACGCCTCCGGGATTGGGGAATGGTTTGAAACTGGATCAGGTCTTCATACAGGCGAAGAAAGACGCTCAGTACTAGTCGGGCTTGTGAAGGCTTTGTAATTACATGTTAGATAGGACTAAGACAGCTTACTCCTTGTTCACCCAGGTGTAAAAAGTCTTCCATCATTGAAGGCCATCGTTGAGGCCATTCAAATCTTATCAAGTGAACGAAAATCTGAGCCAGAACTACGGGAACTACTTTATTTTCATCGGTGTTTGTTAACAGAGTATCAAGCTGAAAAACATGAACAAACAGCTATAACACGCATTACATCTGTAACCATCTTGAATAAACTTCCTTTGATTTCTAGTTTTGTCTCTGCATGAATATCATTCCACGAATGCCTACAATCGAAATGTGTGAGAGAAAAATGACTTACTTTATGCGATGTTCAAGGCACTGTAAACCAAAAAGGATTACAGCTGGGTGTTGTCCAGGGGAGCATAAAATAGGCAAATCACTAAACTGAAATGCAGTGACTTTATATTCTTCGACAATCTAAACAGTGATATGTATGTAGAGGATTACGTTCGAACCTTAAAGCACTGCGAGCGACGAGCATTATCCACTTGCGGATCTAATATAGACTGTACAGACTGAGCGATTGTATGGATGTCCATTTTTGCAACAAGCCCGAATCACGATTATAATAAGCTGCAAGAAAGTGGGATGACTGGTGAATGAAGCGCAAACATTTGGCGTTATTCCAAATCACATTTCTCATTTCTATCCCATTGCACAGATACAGTTATTCGTACACCTCACACCACACAACTGCACGATGAACAGACGGGGCTGACCCCCGTTCAGTGATCGTAACCGGAAACCTGAGCCCCGGGCGAATCACATAAGGCCCCACTATATTAGGCGTGATATTGAACCCGACAATAGTAAAGCCGCTTATCTCCTGTACCTAGTAATTGTGTGCATTTCTTCATGCCTCGTCTCCACGTCATCTGTTGATCTACAAGGAGGTTCTACCAGCCCGTGGCGACTACAATGAATAAAGCGCAGTGTGGCAGACGACAGCTGGTCATATCCAATACGTACCCTAGCCGGCGAAACCTACCAAACTGAATTCCTCAGCTAATAATAACATATGACGGCCTACCTCCAGATTATTAACCCGTTCGCTTGATCTCACCTGGGCAGCGATCAGTGAAGTTCGCTTTACCGTATTACGCTGTACAATGATGATGACCTGGGCTAAACTACGTAAACACCGATTATTAAATACTTCTAATTGATGGATAGCTTCTACTTGCAAGTTCAAGGTCTAAACCATAAAGCAGACCTGAACGAAGGACAGCACAATATATACGGTCTTTCAACTCCAGTGAAACGTCGCGACTACGTTGAAGGTGTTTCAGTCCTGTGTACGTTACTCGAACCATGGAAATGCGGGCGGTTACCTCCTCTGATGCGTTATCGTCATTAGTCACACAAGCATCTAAGAAGAGAAAGCAATCCATTATAACTAATTCCTGGCCATTTAGTTTCAAAGGGGAACTAGATGACACTCGGCAGTTTAGTGCTGTATTTCACCCACGTCTGTATGTCAAACACATCACAGTACAACAATCTTTATATAGGAGACGTTCCAGTCCTGCAGCATCCCTTTGAACTTTGAAGATGCAGGCGCATACAAAATGCGGTAGCAGCACTTATTCGTCCATAAATTAGAACAAGCAAACGATGTCTTCAGCGTAGCCTGGGTCACACAACTTCTCTTCAACTGTCCATTCGATACCTAAATTTTGGAATCCGCGAGGTCATCGAGACCCATTTTGAAAAGAGTGGGTGAAAGAACATCACACCCTACAGGATCTACCAACTATCGCCTCGAAGTTGACGGCTTCGATCAGGGTTTCTAAAAGAGGAACCGTTTGTCGGTTTGAGCTGCAGCGAAGGATGTCGTACCCCAAATTCGTAGCTACCCATTAGGAAACCCCTCTTTCTAGTCTGCCCAGTTATTTCTCCCACTCCAAAATCGTGCGACATATCTCCTGTTTGTATCCTCTTAAAATTCCGACTTTGGCCTTTCATCTATCATAATTTCTGTTTCTCGGGGTGTTACGAAGCGGAGCATACCAATATGCCTGTTCACGCTGGTTATATATTAATTTGTTCGCAGCACAGTTCGAACTGCGCTGGAAATCATAGCAACCAATAGAATAATATATATTACTATTATTGTTATTACTATTAACAATGGTACCTATAGATATATAGATATCATTATTAAGTCCATTAGTGGACTTTAGATTCTATCGCTAGAGTAGTAGGATCTAAAACCCATACTATGGCTGCGGCGCCCACGTCAACGCACACTGTTTAAATCTGCGATCAGAGCCCGACAGATTTACTAGCAAAAATGCAGTAGTAGTAAAGACACGAGCGAACAAACTGAATATCCTCCGTCCGTTCGGTTGTCCAGGTTCAACAGACGACCTTGACAGTCAGTCAGCCAGTCAGTCAGTTTGCACAGGACAGGAGATGGCCACGGCCAATCGAGC